TTTAGTAAAGCACCTTAAGACCCTTCTATCTATGAAGAGTATTTGATTCTACCATATCTGGATCTTGAGAAGAAGATTTTTGAAATTTTAGTCAATTTTACCCTTTTTGGCCCCGCCCCTCAGGCCCCTGGGGGCTGGGGACCATATAATTCACAATTTTAGTTGACCTTTGGCCATGGAAGGTTTCTGCAAAATTTCATTGAAATTGGTTTAGGGGTTTTGGAGAAGAAGTCGAAAATGTAAATTGTTTACGGACGCACGACGGACGACTGACGACGACGGACAAAAGGCGATCGCAATAGGTCACTTGAGACTTTGTCTCAGGTGACCTAAAAATTAAAAAAAATGAAACACTGTAGGAGCCTCTTATACAACAGATTTAGAGATTATAACAAATGGTCTCAGTCCTTCTTATTTAACAGTAGTAGCAACATAATACATTGAATACACTAACACGGCGCTTGTAAACAAGAACAGCCTTAGAACGTATTATGTCTATGATTACTTGTGAGCACGGCTTCTGTATTATACAGACAACAGGCCAACATAACGTTACATATGAATCTTTTATCACATACCTGTTGAATCTTGTTATAGTAATACAAGCAATTTTCAGACCATGAAATACAACGTTCTGTATTGCATATGTGCAATACGGAATGTTGTATTTACATACTAGCCGGAACTACTTTTTATGGGAATCCCCTTGTCATGGCGAACTGAAAAGTTTCGGGTATTTGCAAACAATATCAAAGTTTATAAAATCTTTGTAACGATCTCAAATGCCAAATACGGAAGGTATGTGATAAAAGCAAGACCACACACTTGTGTTTTTCTAACGAATCAGAAAGCACTCATTTATTGCGCGGACGTATATATTAACTCGTGCGCTCTGCACACTCGTGAATATATATTCGTCCGCGCAATAAACTCGTGCTTTCTGATTCTTTAGAAAAACGCAAGTGTGTGGTCTTGTATATGTACTGCATGACATGAAAACAGGCTGCATCACTATAATTCCATTCATAAAGTATGAAATAGATATTACTTTGATAAACTGTATTGCAATAATATATAACTCTCAATTGTCTCCACTCACAAATGCAATGCTGCCAAACACACAGAATTCTGGACGAAAAAATATTTGACGTGAGATTCTTCTTTTTGAATATATGCTGTCGACATTTACCAATGCCAGTTAAATATACCTGGCTTTTATGTTCCATTAATCATTGAAGAAACACACACCTGCATTTGAGTTCCGCTTAGCATCAAACATAATCATAACTTTTTATATGTATGTCACATTTGATTTCAAAACTGAATATATGTACTGAAAATATAGGACAGCCCAATTTAAGAAATTGACAAGCAGGAACCTAGGCTACTATATATAGCTAGTAAACATAAAAAACAAACAGGCTTCCAGCACTTATTATATAAAATATGTAGCTCAAAATATTGTAAATAGATAAATTAATTTTCAGGAAACAAGTCTGAGTTAAACCTCGCTATACTAACCCTCTCTTCATTTGTCACCTCGCTTACTTAACCCTTTCACCCCTATGTAACGTGAGTAGACTCTACCATGCATTGATATTATGAGTCCATTATGGTCTACAGTTGTGAAAGGGTTAAAACAATGTCAAGGTATTTTTTTTCTGTTTTTTTTCTTAAGGATACCCTCAATGTTATCGTCCAACCCCCTTATTATAATGTCAACATTTCTTGGGACAGATGTTGGCAGTATAACAAGGTTTACTGAATTAGAAAACACATTCCATTTCAAATACAAAAACACAACAAACGTAAAATTATATATTATATCAAATAAATAAGACAAGTATCATTAATAGTTGTAATATTCATCACGATAATTAAACACTATTTTGATTATCACATATTTAAGATACTGTATCAGAATAACTGTAACAAAAATACTGAGATTCCTTAGATTGTCAATATACATTGACATGTCAGTAAAAAAAATTAAAAAAATAACAAAATAAAAATGGCAATATACAAAAATACCTCTGTGGAAACAAACATTTAAAGGTGGCAGTTATATTAAAAACACGATTGTGGAAACAAACATTTAAAGGTGGCATTTAAATTAAAAACACGATTTGATCCGAATCCAGGAATGTATTACTACTATCGGAGTTATCCGCATATAAAACATTAATAACTAGCAAGACATATACACATACAATAAATACACTAGTATATTACAAGGTATTACAACATACAATACTCTAGTGTATTACAAGGTATTACAAGATACAATACACTTGTGTATTACAAGATATTACAACATACAATACACTAGAATATTACAACATACAATACACTAGAATATTACAACATACAATACACTAGTGTATTACAAGGTATGACAACATACAATACACTAGTGTATTACAACATACAATACACTAGTTTATTACAAGGTATTACAACATCCAATACACTAGTATATTACAAGGTATTACATCATACAATACACTAGTGTATTACAAGTTATTACAACATACAATACACTTGTGTATTACAAGGTATTACAACAATCAATACACTAGTATATTACAAGGAATTACAACATACAATACACTAGTATATCAGAAGGCATTACAACATACAATACACTAGTATATTACCAGGTATTACAACATACAATACACTTGTGTATTACAAGGTATTACAACATACAATACTCTAGTGTATTACAAGGTATTACAACGTACAATACACTAGTGTATTACAAGGAATTACAACATACAATACACTAGTTTATTACAAGGTATTACAACATCCAATACACTAGTATATTACAAGGAATTACAACATACAATACACTAGTTTATTACAAGGTATTACAACATCCAATACACTAGTGTATTACAAGGTATTCCAACATACAATACACTAGTGTATTACAACATACAATACACTAGTGTATTACAAGTTATTACAACATACAATACACTAGAATATTACAACATACAATACACTAGAATATTACAACATACAATACACTAGAATATTACAACATACAATACACTAGTGTATTACAAGGTATTACAACATACAATACACTAGTATATCAGAAGGTATTACAACATACAATACACTAGTATATTACAAGGTATTACAACACACAATATACATTAATTGACACAAAACCAAAAATATTCATAGCTGGATATTTCATGGAGACAAAGACATGTATAATATCCAAATGAAATATTAAATTCTTTGATTGTATGCTCTTTTAATTAACAGCAAATATAAAATATGCCGCATTTTTCAACATTTACTTTCATAGAAGCAATCTGCTCCATAGAATATGTACATGTTCTGTATATTCAGGCTGTTGTCACAAATAACTGCAATGTGTGTTTTGTATATCGAGTCTCCTGAAGCTTAAAACAGCACTGTAGATGTAAGTGATATCTACGTCTATGCATCCTCGATATCCAGGGGTTACGTTCACTTTCGCTATCTACACCCCTTGAATATGTCATAGCAAAATTGAAGGCACGAAGATAGCTGTTTGATTGGGTCTTGGTAAAAAAACTGACCAATCGCTAGGCTGATACCTGTCCTTTGAAGATTACAAAGGAGATTGAGGCGCCCGCCTTCAAAGCCTGTCAATTTGTACCGTTACATGACCGCGGAATTCTTTTGATGTACATCAAGGGATCAAACTAGTCTCCTTGTCTCACCGAGCCTTCAATTTTGCTATGACATATTACAGGGGTGCAGAGAGCAAAACTAAGCATAACCCTTGGATATCGAGGATGGCGCTATGTCTTTGTCTACGTAACATTTGAATAGTATATGCCACTCTTTATCACGTTTCACAGAACATCTCTCAGCATGCTTTTTAGCCATGGCACTATTAACCTGTTCATCATTGAATCATTGTTGTTGTCATATTTGTATCCATATAACATCACACATATTGTTATCAATTTTGATTACACCTACGGGTCTGTTTAATTGGAATAAATACATAAACAAACAAAATTAATAAATTAACAAAAATAAATAAATAAATAAAGGAACGGTAACAAATATGACCAGATAATAGATTGTCTCAAATACAAATCCTATTCTGACACTAAGGTCCGGTGTGTGTTAAATAATACCAGTGTATCTACGCATGAACCCGACAAGCGACACACAATAGACGGACATGGTAAAGCCAATGAAGAGGCGCCTATGCTCGGTAAGTGGTCTTAAGGGGCGGTACCGTTGAAGGATGGCGGGAATTTCTCGTTGGGAGGCAATGGATAGGCTTACCAGTAAAGCTAATATGTCGGAGCCAATCAGCATATAGAATACGTTGTTCCAGCCTGTTGTCTCGATTATACCCGCCAGCAATGGACCAATAGCAGCACCTATTGGGTAAAGCAATAATTAAACACATTAAGGATCCCCGTACCACTGCCTAAATTTGTAATTATGCATTTGATTCCAACCAACTTTGCTTCTTAATATCATAGCAAACATCAGTGAAAAATACAAAACTTGACCTTGACCCTTTGGACCCCGTAACCTGGACCTAAGATCAGTTGACTCTGTGTTAAGTTCTGAACAACATTGCTTCATAATGTCATAACAAAATGTTCATCAGGGAAAAGGTTCAAAATTTAACCTTCACCTTTGACCCAGTGACCTTAACCTTTGGTCAGCTGACTCCTTGTTTAATTCTGATCAATTTTGCTTCATCATGTCATAACAAAATGTTCATCAGTGAAAAGATGCAAAATTTGACCTTGACCTTTGAATCTAATGACCTTGACCTTTGTCCTCGACTTTTTACCTCAGTGTGTCTCTTTGTTTAATTCCGAACAACTTTGCTTTATAATGTCATAGTGAAATGTTCGCCAGTAAAAAGCTACAAAATTTGACCTTGACCCCTGACCCGATGACCTTGACCTTTGATCAGTTGACTCCTTGTTTAATTCTGATAAACTTTGCTACATAATGTCATAACAAAATGTGCTTCAGTGAAAAGATGTAAAATTTGACCTTGACCTTTGAACCTAATGACCTCGACCTTTGACCTTGAATTTTTACCTCAATGTGTATTTTTGTAAACTGAACATCTTGACTAAGTTTCATGTACATCGGTCAATAAATATTAAAGTTATCAGCCAGGAACAAAATTTGTGGACAGACAGACAGACAGGGTGATTACTATGGGGCACCCGTATCTCCGATACGGGGCCCTAATCAGGATGGAATACACCACAGTATTCGAAGTGTACAATGCTGATTAAAACCCTGGATCTCAAATATTTACATTCTTTTCCTATGCAACTGATTAACCTATACTTCCAGTACAAACTATGATGTCAGTGACCTTGGCCATGAACTTTATTTTTCCTGTGTATTTTACCTATACTTCCAGTACCGTCTATGATGTCAGTGACCTTAGCCATTAACTTAGTTTGTCCTGTGTATTTTACCTATACTTCCGGTACCGACTATGATGTCAGTGACCTTAGCCATGAACTTAGTTTGTCCTTGGTATTTTACCTATACTTCCGGTACCGACTATGATGTCAGTGACCTTAACCATTAACTTTGTTTTTCCTGTATATTTTACCTATACTTCCGGTACCGACTATAATGTCAGTGACGTTAGCTATTAACTTAGTTTTTCCTTTGTATTTTACCTATACTTCCGGTCCCGACTATGATGTCAGTGACCTTAACCATTAACTTAGTTTGTCCTGTGTATTTTACCTATTCTTCCAGTACCGTCTATGATGTCAGTGACCTTAGCCATGAACTTAGTTTGTCCTTGGTATTTTACCTATACTTCCGGTACCGGCTATGATGTCAGTGACCTTAGCCATTAACTTTACTTTTCCTGTATATTTTACCTATTCTTCCGGTACCGACTATGATGTCAGTGACCTTAACAATTAACTTTATTTTTCCTGTGTATTTTACCTATACTTCCAGTACCGTCTATGATGTCAGTGACCTTAGCCATTAACTTTATTTTTCCTGTATATTTTACCTATTCTTCCGGTACCGACTATGATGTCAGTGACCTTAGCCATGAACTTAGTTTGTCCTGTGTATTTTACCTATCCTTCCAGTACCGTCTATGATGTCAGTGACATTAGCCATTAACTTTATTTTTCCTGTATATTTTACCTATACTTCAGGTACCTACTATAATGACAGTGACCTTAGCCATTAACTTTATTTTTCCTGTGTATTTTACCTATACTTCAGGTACCGTCTATGATGTCAGTGACCTTAGCCATTAACTTAGTTAGTCCTTGGTATTTTACCTATACTTCCGGTACCGACTATAAAGTACCGTCTATGATGTCAGTGACCTTAGCCATTAACTTTATTTTTCCTGTGTATTTTACCTATACTTCCGGTAACGACTTTGATGTCAGTGACCTTAACCATTAACTTTGTTTTTCTTGTATATTTTACCTATACTTCCGGTACCGACTATAATGTCAGTGACGTTAGCCATGAACTTTGTTTTTCCTGTATATTTTACCTATACTTCTGGTACCGACTATGATGTCAGTGACCTTAACCATTAACTTAGTTTGTCCTGTGTATTTTACCTATAATTCCGGTACCGACTATGATGTCAGTGACCTTAGCCATTAACTTTATTTTTCCTGTGTATTTTACCTATACTTCAGGTACCGACTATAATGTCAGTGACCTTAGCCATTAACTTTATTTTTCCTGTATATTTTACCTATACTTCCGGTACCGACTATGATGTCAGTGACCTTAGCAATTAACTTTGTTTTTCTTGTGTATTTTACCTATACTTCCGGTACCGACTTTGATGTCAGTGACCTTAACAATTAACTTTATTTTTCCTGTGTATTTTACCTATACCTCCGGTACCGACTATGATGTCAGTGCCCTTAGCCATTAACTTAGTTTGTCCTGTGTATTTTACCTATGCTTCCAGTACCGTCTATGATGTCAGTGACCTTAGCAATGAACTTAGTTTGTCCTGTGTATTTTACCTATGCTTCCAGTACCGTCTATGATGTCAGTGACCTTAGCAATGAACTTAGTTTGTCCTGTGTATTTTACCTATCCTTCCGGTACCGACTATGATGTCAGTGACATTAGCCATGAACTTAGTTTGTCCTGTGTATTTTACCTATACTTCCGGTACCGACTTTGATGTCAGTGAACTTAGCCATGAACTTAGTTTTTCCTGTGTATTTTACCTATACTTCAGGTACCGACTATGATGTCAGTGACCTTAACAATTAACTTTGTTTTCCCTGTGTATTTTACCCATACTTCCGGTACCGACTTTGATGTCAGTGACCTTAACAATTAACTTTGTTTTTCCTGTGTATTTTACCCATACTTCCGGTACCGTCTATGATGTCAGTGACCTTAGCCATGAACTTAGTTTGTCCTGTATATTTTACCTATACTTCCGGTACCGACTTTGATGTCAGTGACCTTTACAATTAACTTTGTTTTTCCTGTGTATTTTCCCCATACTTCCGGTAACGACTTTGATGTCAGTGACCTTAACAATTAGCTTTGTTTTTCCTGTGTATTTTACCCATACTTCCGGTAACGACTTTGATGTCAGTGACCTTAACAATTAGCTTTGTTTTTCCTGTGTATTTTACCCATACTTCCGGTACCGACTATGATGTCAGTGACCTTAGCCATTAACTTAGTTTGTCCTGTGTATTTTACCCATACTTCCGGTACCGACTATAATGTCAGTGACGTTAGCCATGAACTTAGTTTTTCCTGTGTATTTTACCTATACCTCCGGTACCGACTATGATGTCAGTGACCTTAGCCATTAACTTAGTTTGTCCTTGGTATTTTACCTATACTTCCGGTACCGACTATAATGTCAGTGACCTTAGCCATTAACTTTGTTTTTCTTGTGTATTTTACCTATACTTCCAGTACCGTCGATGATGTCAGTGACCTTAGCCACATTAACTTTGTTTTTCTTGTGTATTTTACCTATACTTCCGGTACCGTCGATGATGGCTGTGACTGTAGCCATGAACTTAGTTTGTCCTGTGTATTTTACCTATAATTCCGGTACCGACTATGTCAGTGACCTTAGCCATGAACTTAGTTTGTCCTGTGTAATTTACCTATACTTCCGGTTCCGACTTTGATGTCAGTGACCTTAGCCATGAACTTAGTTTGTCCTTGGTATTTTACCTATACTTCCGGTTCCGTCGATGATGGCTATGACCTTAGCCATGAACTTAGTTTGTCCATGGTATTTTACCTATACTTCCAGTACCGTCGATGATGGCTGTGACTGTAGCCAGGGCCTTAGTTTGTCCTGTGTATTTTACCTATACTTCCTGTACCGACTTTGATGTCAGTGACCTTAACAATTAACTTACTTTTCTTGTGTATTTTACCTATACTTCCGGTAACGACTTTAATGTCAGTGACCTTAGCCATTAACTTTTCTTGTGTATTTTACCTATACTTCCAGTACCGTCGATGATGGCTGTGACTGTAGCCAGGGCCTTTGAGTTGCCCTGTAGGACTTTATGCGTTCCGAGATCTGCGCTGACCGCGGTGGTGATCAGGGCGTACGGACCATTTACCATAAACCCGCAGAGTATAGACAGTCCTGAAAATCACCAATAGTTACATGTCCATACAATTCAGTTCTAGTTAATGTTTAATCAGACTTTCACTCACTGCTTACAGCTGTGCTCAGGACATGTGCAAGTGTTAACATAATGTGTTTACAATTTAACAAATGAAAACAAGACCTCCCAATCACACTTTGAACCTAAAGCGAAACTTGGCAGTGGCATTAAACGGCAGTGTTTTATTCAGTTTAAAAAAATAACAAATAGTTAGACCTTTTATAGCTTACCTATACTGTGGGCGAGGTCGATGCTTCCATACAGATTATAGATATACATCTGAAACAAAACAGATGAAGAATGTCCAATTTACATCGAAAATGTCCGATTTCATGAAGCTAGGTTCATCATGCATGCCTCGATGCTTTGAAGATCAGACCAGAAGTTCACATACGTCAGGAGATGGTGGAATGGTTCGACCACTTATTGTCGACTGGTTTATGGTGTGATTTCACCCTCCTGGACAAGGTAGCATTACACAAAGTCCGTGCATAGTATCAAACAATCAACAGGTAAAAAGCGCCTTTGGAGATAACAAACCTGGTCATAATATTCGAACAACGATAAAACCCGAGAAGTCTAGAGAGTCGTTACCTAATGTAAGGGTAAGCGAGGAAAGTGTAAACAGACGTCAGAATTGCTGTAAGGAGGCAGCAGATCATGTCGGCTGTCTACCTTGTTCGAATTTGACGATCTAAAGTCCTGTGAAGAGGTTCCACATTAGCCACCTCATACAAATACGTACAGAACTAGAGCAGCGCAAATGGTAGGCTAACCTTTTTTCACGATTTATACTGACGTCAAAATTGCACAATAAACTCACTGAATTGTCCCTTGGTGCGATTCATTCTTTAAAAAGAATTCAACTCACTTCATAACACTAATTTTGGGAAGATTCTCCAATCGGCTTTTAGGCATTTCCTCGCCTGAAGAAATCTCACTCAATCTCAACAACGCGTAAACATACTCACTACAGGTGCCGCTAACATTAGTTGTATGACGCATGTGGTAGCTCTCGCCCCGGTGTAGTCGGATACCAGCCCCGCCGTTATACCACCTAAATTTAAATATAAGGAATCGAATATAAGAAAGGCGGAGAACTTTCGTTCAGAGCACATTATAAACTTTCATGTTACGCATTGATCCAGAAGACCCTGCTATGTGAGTGCTGGTGCAGTATATATGCATTTTTGTTAACATATCATTCATAATGTATAAATAATGTGGACATAAGATCAAAAGATCAAAAGATTTGTAAATGTAAACATTAGTAAGCGAGTTTACGAGATATTCCGCCTATCCCTCTTGGTTTCGTACTACGTTAAGTGTTGAAATGTTAAGAACATATGATTTATAATAATTGGTTATCAATAAATTACTGATTAGACCTGCACAAACGATCCAAACATGAAAGTAAACTCAAACAGGATATTTATATCTTATCAATCTGGCGTTTTTGTATCTCGAAATGCATTTCATTGATTGATGCATTTATTCTATATTTTCGATTTTTTTTGGATTTTTTTACATTTTATTAATTTGGCTTGTGCTTCCTCTCAAAACTTTTATCTTTTTTACTGGTTTTATTTCTCAATAATTCTATCAAACGAGACAGAACGTCAAATACAACAAAAACGGGACGTTTCTGGACCATCATATAATAATTATAATACTAATAATTGGAGGTTGTTGTAATGCCTTTGCAACAAGCCAATATCTTTCTCAACTCCCTGTTGAGCATACCGCCAGTGCTAAGAATCCATTTCGGCGCTCACAGCTAGCATTCAACAATTCCAGCAAAACCCATCCACATACTTATTACGTACAAGCGGGGTAAAGTATCTTGTTCAAACATACAACATAGTGCCCTGACGTGACTCAACCCGCAACCCCTCGGTCACGAGCCAGGCGTCCCACCACTAGACTAGCGTGCCTCCTATTCCGTCTTTGCGTATTGCAGAGTTATCTTCTCATGGGAGCAGGTATTGATTGTTACGTCATTGGTCTGTGTGAGAAAATTACGTCGTTTTCTCAAAAATTGATGACGTTATTCTCACAAACCAGTGACGTAACAATCAATACCTGCTCCCAAGAGAAGATAACTCTGCAATACGCAAAGACGGAATTACTATTTAATTTTTAGATATATTTTTTATTAGTTGTTAAATGCGGTGACTGTAACAAGAGAAAGCACAAGGCTTGCTACAGCAGATCTAATGAGTTAAAACTTCATATAGCATATACACATGTACGGGGTATGTTGTTTTGTACCTTATCCATGCGACCCATAGCCATGGTGGGTAGAGCATGGTGGAGTACAGGTCTGAATGTTAAAATTGCATTCCGGATATAAAGGAGGCCATATTTTTTTAAAACATTTACAACAAACTGCATATGAGACTTTTAAATCTGTCAGTTTCAATTGAAAAACAAAGTGCACATAACCACTTATTCAAACACTTAAGTATCACACATCAAACATCAATTTCCAATTAAATTAAATACAGTGGATAACAAAATACCGAACATACCATTTACGTGACGTTTAAAACCCTAACCGCGACCATGATTTTGTTTTTGAATCACATCCCGTCAATATATATGCTAATTTGACATAGGAAGATGCGTTTTACAAAAATGTTGGTATCACATGTTTATTTAACTCCCAAGCAATACTAAAGGACGATAGAGTTATCCTTTTTGAGATATTATTAAAGTATGCTTTTGTCTTATGTCAAAAGGGAGACAACTGGTATATGCACATAAAAGTGAGAATGCATATACACTAGCTTATCCCTCTTTGAAGCGACTATGTAAAGCCTTCCTAGCAGAACAAATTCAGAACATCTGTGTATAGTGCTAACAACTAGAAATAATTGATCTTCACGATCGTGATGGCTTTATTGGAAAACGAAGCCATATTACCTAAAATTATCATGGTGTACTCAATAGAGGTTCCCAGGGCTCCAGCCTGTACCTTCAATTATCACTGATTGATGACCAGATCTCCACCATTCATATTTTGTTTCACAATAACTCCTTGTTTTCAACACTCTAGCTGTCTTCAGTTCCTTCACTTTCATCTGACATCTATTTAATTCTGTTCTCACGATTACCATTTCTAATAACATAACACACTGTCCTCAAATCTTCCTATTTCACACTGTCATAATACCACCACTACAAGGTACCATACTTTAAGATAAAGGGAACCATCAGGTAAAAATATAATACACTGAATGGCAAGTTGAAGTATACACTTTAAAAATAAATGCGTTGTTGTCAAACATAAATTTTATTGCAAAACCAATGTTATAACTGCATCATTCAAAAGGTAAAACAAATCCCAAACCGCAGTAAATTTGTTGGACATTCAGTTCAGATGTTGGCTTTCATCTATTTTATACTCTGAGCGCGTATACAGGATACACTGAAGTAATGCACGTGCAAATTGTGCCACGTACCCTCGGTAAGCTTCGCTTGCAAAGGCAGTCAGGTTTAATTTGAATGTGACGGCAATGTGACTTAAGACTTTCGATGATGGGTAGAAATTGGGCGCTTAAGGGCGGCAAAAAAAAGCGTCATATGGCGCGAGTGATCAATTGCACAAGATTAACGATATTGTGCCCTATTACAGGGTTATCAATGAGTAGGACATGTAAAACCACTCATTGGAGCGGGACGTCGTCGTGAAACGGCGACTCGTCAGGATCGTTACATACTTAATCGAGGAATGGCGTCGAATCAGAACGACGTTTGGTGTTGTCCATGACAGAACGCTGTGTGGCACTGCACTTAGTTAACAACAATCGCGGTCACACAGGATAATGACGTCACAAGTGGGTTTTAACTGTGTAAAATTGTGGAATCAAAATCACTTGAAAAATTGAAATGACCCTAACGTCGTTCTGTAACACGGTATGCCTTGATTGGAAGTTGAAGGCAGTCCTGATTCTGTGTTAAATGTTTCTCGAACAATCAAATTTCACATTTACGATTTAAAATCAATTTTATCATGGTGTAATGAAATTATCTGACGCCTTTTATATTGATAGTAAACTTAATTTTGCCGGATAGTATAAAACCATTGTCAACATTTTGTACCATTTGTTTAGGCCTTTTTTAAAAGAAAAACGTTTTCCATACAAACGACGTTTCAATGTATTTTACGGATTTTAAATATTTTTTTTGCAATTTGAATGTTTAAAAATAGAAATAAGAAATAAAGCACAATATCAGCAGGAGTCGCACTGAGGACCGTTACATTACAAAGCCTATACTTTACCAACTTTGTTATCAAGGAAATATAATTGCAAAGGACCAAAAGTAGCGTCAAATTACTTGTCATGACAGGTTATTCTAAGCCAGAAAACTCCTTTGTATTGCGCCGTCTACTATATAGGAGGGAGAATACAGTAAAACAAAAGCTCCAAGTGGAACTCCTCTTCGATGATAACGTATGCAGTTGTACCCCCTACCATAAATTACTATTAGCGATATTAGTTATACCGTTCACGGACTCATATCAAACTATGACTGCTACGATAATTAAACCTATAATGGCGTTATTCATAAATAAGGGCACACAGCACTACTTCTACGATACCTTCAGTTGTTTAAGCGTTATTCAGATAATAAATCATTCTACACCACTACTTCAATACCTAAATTTGTAATAGCGCTTTTCAGATATAAGAGCACAAGACACAACTACTACCATTCACTACAATTGCAATGGTGTTATTCAAACTAGAAAGCATACTAAACTACTACTACTACTACTACTTCCATACCTAAAATTCCGCCAACATCGAAAAACGTTGACAAATCTGCAGCCTTCTCAGCATCAATGTCCGCTGCAACAAAAGAATAAGACTATGTTACAAATCTATAGAAACATGTTGAACAGTACAGTACGTTTACACTACGGTATAACACGAACTGTTCGTAGATACTTTCCTTCATAATTTGGAGCCATTGAGATTATTTCGAACAGTAGACACGAGTATTAATCAAAATTGTTGCATCTATTTTCGTTGTTCAATTGTTAAGCAACCACGAAAACCACGAATATTTCTACACCACGAATATTTCATGTTATACAGTATCTACGTTACAAAAGATATAATCATTGTCAGTTTCTCGATGAAAACTATGTCAGAAATACTTAAATATTGTATCGTCGTTAGAAAAAAATTAACTGTACATTTGCGTCATTGGGTTTCTGATTAAAACACTTACATTTACTGCTGATGTATTTCGGTAGCCAGAAGAGAAAGGTATAGCTGACCAATTTGGCAAAGAACAGACACAGAGAAAATTCCACTACGCCCTGTAAGAACAAAATTTATGTACAGCAAAACGGTATAAACGACACACAAGTATATTTTCCTTTGTTTTCGTATGAAATATTCAAATTCTTTTTTTAATGTTTCTTTTCATGCATGCCTTATATTCATAGTGTCAACAAAACCTTAATTCAAACTCAAAATCGATAGCTCAAGGCCTAAATACCAACAAAGGAAAATTTACATGGAGAATCTTGAAAATAGCAAGGAGAATAAGACCAGATGTTCCAGAAGGGTAAGCGTCTTTTGCGTCATTGATAACAAACACGATGTAAACCAAGGCTCTATAACCACGGATAATAATTTTCGAACCCCTTTGAGACGACCTACGAACTAGGTTGTGATAAAGCGGTATATAAGAACCTCAAATTATTATTATAAGGTCAAATAGGTTGTGATAAGGCAGTATATAAGAACCTCAAATTATCATTATAAGGTCAAATCCAAGTAATGGCATGTCTATGTCGAGAACTTGGGCAGTGACAGCATTACCAGAAAGCATACTAATGAAAACCGACCCTCATAGTATGCAAATAAATAGCATATTTCCCTATCAGATCATGATAGTGATCATGAAACTTGACCATTATACTTGTCCATAGTCTATGTCAACTTGCATCTTTGGAAATTCTGTGTTTCAAGTTCATTAGTAAATAGTCGACATCTTTCACAGAAATACTGTTATTCTTCACCGATTTTCTTCAAACTTCGTTCGATTTTGATGAAAATTGGTATATAGGGATATTAGGGGACTGTGAATGCAACCGCATCGGTTTCGTTGCCATAGCTAATGCAATATCAGTAAATAGTCGACACCTTTCACAGAAATACTGTTATTCTGAACAGGCTCTTGAACATTTAATTAACTGTGACATGTAAACACCGTAGGTAGGTGTAACAGGGATGCTAATTATGAGAGATATTAGTCCATCAGCACACTTTTTACTTACAGGGATCCGAAGAGCTGCGAAGAAACCGATAGGCTTGTCCGGCTGCCCCTTCTTTTTGACAAAATTCGTTGAACTGCTGTATTCCTATAAAATTAAAGGGACCAATGAAATAATGTGACTTTTATCGAACAGGTCAACAATGGCTGGTAAATGATTTTATACACAGACATACTTATTAACATTAATATCATATATTAATCAAAGAATTCAAGCTTTAATTTTGTTTTTCCATTCAATTAAAGTTATTAATTAATATCACTTGTATGTTAGTAGACAGAGAAACATATATGTTGCTTAATACAATAAAATGGCAAAATTGTTAAAATTCTTAGCAGACTAAATGATTTGATTCAAAGCCGATTAATATGTTAACATACTTAATACAGGAGATATACTCGCAGATTTATACAAATCATCAAAGCATCAAGTTGTTTTATAAACGAAACGATTTTGTTATAAATCGATGAAGTGAGTGGCCATAGAGAGGAGAGCGACAGCAAGGAGGGGTAAGTTAACATAATACATGTGGTATAAATAAAGTGGAAACGTGTACAGTGAACATGTGTTATATATAACTTCCTTTTTGAAATAAAAAATAATATTCTTTGAAATGTCAGACAAACTTATTAATATAAATGAAATACACAAGTAATTCAGCCAACCAATAGCTATGAAAAAAGGTCTCACACAGGTTTAGTTGTACAATGTGAAAAAATAGCAGGGTCGATTCAACATCATAATTATGATGATTAATGGTTAAAAAATAAATAAAAAATACATAAAATATCTGATAAGCTTAACAACATCACTGTCAGAAGAAGAAATATCGTTCATCTCCAAATCAATTATTTAACTCATTAACCCCTGTATTGTCATAATGAACTATTCCAACCTTTGAATTGGAAGAGTTCAAATGTGTCTTCAGGGGTGAATTAGTTACAAGCTGAAAAAATAAGGCTCTAACATTAATAGTGATTTTTGTAGAGCGAAATGATAACATATTTTACATTAACTCATTCACCCCTGAAGACTCATTTGAACTCTTCCAACTCAAAGGTTGGAATAGCTCATTATGAATTTTCAGGGGTGAATGAGTTAACTGTGTTGCCAGATATTTCAATTCTCATAAACAAGTATCTTATAGAAATGGCACGTATTTTCAAATCTCATTTATGGCAATATAACCAAATTGAAGCTGACATGTGAAGATCTGTAGGAAATATAAATGACTCGACTGATAAGCATATACAGGTGTTCTACGTGTAAAAGCTAGCTTGAATAATAATAAACCCCGGATCACATTTATAGTACTCTTAAGTTGCTAGGTACTTTTAAGTTTCAGTATTGAACACATAACTGTTTATGTTCAAAACGTACAATTAATTTTAATTGTTTAAAATGTAGATAGATTTATGTCTTATCTACAAATATCTTTTATATCCTTCTAGATGTAGTTTGGTATTCAATGAAAGGTCTCAAACAAATGCTGATTAGTGTATTTGTTGTTTAAATCCGGTTACATATCCGGTTTCAAATCTCATCCAAAACACTGATAAGTAAACCTTTACCCTTAAGGTTCACGAACTGTACTTAAATACACTTGTCTCACACTGTATGGGAGCTTGTTTGTCCTATTTTCATTTGTAAAAGTATTGGGAATGATAAATTAAATGATGAAATGTTTCAACCGGATGATTAACCGTCATATTTGTTTTATGGTATGCAAGTTAATAATGAAGGTGAAATAAGTTAAAGGATTGTGGTTCCGGCGAGTCCCAGGAGGACAAAACAACTGTATGGTGCAATGTGATTTCATCTAAGAAATACTGTATCTACATGTATACTTAACCCTTTCACCACTATAGACAATAATGGACTCATCCAGATCAATGCATGGTAGAGTCTACTCAAGTTACATAGGGGTGAAAGGGTTAAGTGCAGTCCCGTGTATGTGTCTTATGTTCATCTTTCTTAGATCACATTTCCACACTATTTGCTAATTCAATGCACTATGGAGTATTATGATCCAAACAATGGAAAGGTCATATTACAATATTTCATTGACAAGAGACATACCTCCATTAATTATAGCCGGCTGTTGACATTCTATTGACACAATCTGGATAATTAACCTTATCATGAAGTTTGAAGTAAATAAAATAACACCTTCTGGAGACATTCAGCGAAACAATGTTCTATATGCATCAAAGGACCATCAATGTCTTAAAAAACAATCAATTGATACTTGAAATTGACTTCTTTAGTTATTGTACCCCGGGGGTTATAGGTTTAATCTTCTCTAATGTTATGTAACAAATACTGTCTTTCGACAGGCGAAAAAACTGCTGAATCGTACATTAAAATCTTTACTAAAATTTAGCTTTAGAGCCTGCTTTATGTGAGTTTCTGAATCCTCTATTTTGTCCTAGTGACTTTGTTTCTACGAATGATTAAAGCTACCAGGGCAACAGCCAAAGACTGTGACTATAAGTATTGGAAACTGTTCTATTTCAGGTATGACTGTAGTTCTGATTTCTGAAATTAAAATCATACCTTGCGCGACTTCTTGGAAAACAATAGAGAATTGAAAGTAAAAGCAAATCAGCTTGGGTAGACGAGGATTCGAACCCTGAACCTCAGGTTTTTATACTATTGCTTTAATCGGCGATGCTACCTTGTCGACGGACGTGTTCTTGCCTATCTATGTAAAAGAAGTGAAAGGGGAAATCACTGTATATGAAAAATAAAACAATGCATTTGGACTTGGATCTTTAAGTATCTATAGCGGTTTGAGTGACTTTTTTACTGTGTCATATATTTATTGATCGTTGCACTTTACCTGAATATTAAGAAAGACGGGAGGCTTTTATTAACTTGAGAATAAAGTTTTCCCTTCCGGGTTTTTTGAGGAAGCTAAATCGATTTTTTCATTTTGTTATCATCTCTTTTGTAGAGGCTTTGTATTTTCAAAAACCCGCGGGAATATAATTTGAATACGAATCAATTTAGTGCAATTGAGCGGTGTGAGTATATGAGTGGTCATATCTTGTGCGGGCATTGTGAGAGGAAAAACGAATATTGTGTGTGTGGTTTTTTTTTGGAAGGGTGCATGGGCTTTGAGTGCATTATGAGTGCACACCGCTACCTACATCCGGCTTTGCACCGTAACTGTTGACGTTATGTAACGATCCTAGAAGCTGTTTGTTCTGAAAGCAAACAATCATGTATTGTTGATGCTATCTAATGTTTATTTAGTACATGTACTTTGCGACATTTCAATGACACACATTGTTATATATATATATATTAATAAAAAAAAATATCTGTTTATCTGTTTGAACTGTAACATATGTATCTCTATCAGTGTTGTTTGTGTGAGTCCGACTAACCTGCAAGGTAAAAGTTATCAATAATCGTTACCTGTTGAGTGCATGGCATCAACATATCCGGGAAACATGATATGAACTTTAATCAAGTTCAAAAATACATCATATGCTTATATATTAACTATACCCGACCAAATGCTTCCCTGAAAAAAAGAAATTTCAAATTAATTTAATAGCGTTTTCCTATTTAGCGTAGCGTCATGCAGCTTAAAGCAAAGACATGTATGTATATGATGATAATGGCACTGCTCAACTACAACAGCGATAAATAAACTTGGAAAGACAATGACGAGAGAAAACCACAACCCATGCATAAGAAAAGGAGGAAACTCTGCCTATAAAAACAGGACACATCAGAACGTGTGTATGATGTTAAGCTTATATCATTATGTTCTAGCCAAGCAGATCTTAAAAAAAATCAACCACCACCAATTCATAAGGAGGGCGTTTACGAACAGGAGCATCAAAACTGTTATCAGATTTCGTCACGTAGTCACGTATACAGTTGGACCTCGAAAGACAAGGTGATGCTTCCAATATCTATCAGACTAGCTGTAACGCTGATACATGAGCCAAGCCGTTTGTCCCAGTAACCTCCGTAGCATTTGTCTCTAGCGTACATTAACGAACAAGACTACACATAAGCCTTTCAACTGTCTTTATCAGCCAACAAGTCTTTTGTTTAACGTCCTATTAACAGCTAAGGTCATTTAAGGACGTGCCTCCATGTGTTTAGTGTGTGCGTGCTTGCGTGTGTGTATGCAGGAGACAGGGTATGTTGGAGTCCGATGTCTTGGAATACTTTGTCGCAGAACGAAGTACCACTGTAATTACCACTACGATACTGGAACGATATTTTTAAAGGCGCCATGTTTCTTTTTGTTATTATACAATTTGGTCAAAGTTTGCTGCCTGAAACCTGTTGAAGTGTTATTCTACATAAAAAAAATGATTCATGTTTTTATTACAATTTACTACATGAATTTAGATTGACCTTTGGCGAATATTAAGTCTTACGAAATATATAAAAGAGCCCAGCTTAACAATTGTGTTTGTTTAAATCCGTGATATATCTGTTCCCATTGCGTAGATTTGATTAAGGTACGTAGCTCTGCTCGAATCTCCCTTGTTTACATCACTTTAAAAGTTTACAAAATTGGCACAAGTCAACAGTTGAAGGCTTAGCGAGTCCTGATTCGCCAATCTCGTGGAATATTGCACGTTCATACCATGTTGACCTTTTGGGACATGGGCAGATTGTCGGCAGTCGTGATAACGGACACAACCAGGTCACCCTCATTCCATGGGGTGTCACTAGTAATACATGCCCCGGAGAGAGGCGGCTTAGCTACAGCATCAGATGCCACCACCCTCAGTTCAACCTATAAAATGCATCCGCCATTCCATGGATAACTCATCATCACAATCACGTACAAGACGGTATCTCGGTCACAAATGGGATTCTCGTCACGTTTTTATATGACCATAAGATTTCAGCTGAGTACTTGCTTTGCAAACCTACAAGCATAGTGACATGCTCTTTTCTTGAAACTTAATCCTTAGAATATCTGCCATTTTTTATATTGTGCACATGCTATTCACATAATTTATATATCTGACATTGAAATATATAAATGTATACTATATATATGTATATATCCATATGGGTCAAAGAAGTAATAGAGACGGTAAAATCCCATATAACACTGGATCCTAATGGAGGTATGTCGGTAGGATACGAATTACTTAAAATAGTATATGGGGCAAAGAAGTAATTCCAACAGTGTGGACAACTTTAGGTTGTCAAATTTTCGAAGCGATCCGCTCCTTTATCAAGACACAGTGAAACAGAACAGTTACATGTACATATACATCATATTACAAGAAGATAGAACTGATATACTATAATTGAAAATATAGCTATTGTATAAAAAACAATAGTCCCCTCGGCTAAAGACCTATTCTTGCGCAAGATGCACAAAGTGCAGTATCACTATCCGTAGGAATTTGAGATTTTCACATTTACCGGGGCAGATTCCAACATGCACATGTTCCACGTTTTTGATACCTCGTCCCTTCTTCCTGGTGCTTATCTCTTGTTGACTCACCTTATGTGATAGTGCATCTTGCGCACGAATAGGTCCTCTACATCAGGGTTCCTTGTCCGCGATGTTCTCAGCTTAATTGCTGCCTTCGGCTGTCTTTAGCCGAGGGGACTATTTTTTTTTTATAGCTATATTTTCGATTATAGTATATCAGTTCTATCTTCTTGTAATATGTTGTATATGTACATGTAACTGTTCTGTTTCACTGTGTCTTGATAAAGGAGCAGATCGCTCCGAAAATTTGACAACCTAAACCTGTCCACACTGTTGGAATTACTCCTTTGCCCCATATAGATATTCATAAGTATACTCTATATTAACTCACTAGTTTACTGTAGGTGTGTACAGGTATACTGCATGTATGTTCACGAATAACTGTCCATAAGAGTTTAATAACACATAGAGAAAAAGGAACATTAAACCCCATAAAAAACCTAAGGGTAGAAAACACAAACTGTCAAACTATTTAAATGATAGAAAAACATGACCCTCCCTAACCACTGAAAACAAACATGAACAACAAAACGTACACGCATGACTCTATCGTGATATTAGCACATCCTTATCATGCGTATTAACCTTGACCCGGACAATCGCCCTACAGATATAACAGTAAACCAGGTATTCTTTTATAACTATAGACCAGGTAGCTTTTACAACCGTAAACCAAATAAAACTTATAACTAAGTTACCTGGAATTATATATCAGGTTATTTTTATAACTTAAGTTAAGTTAAGTTTATTTCCGGTTCAGGACTAGTGAAAGTCCTCTATACCAGACTCTTATGTTACACAATACATAAATATGTATATTCCTATTCGGTACACGTTAATGTCTATGGTTTGATTAATGATTTGTAGTTAAAGAAAAGTTCTTGATGTTTCCAGTGGGTATCTAGCCTGTTTTTAAATACATTTACATTTGGTGCGGAGACAACATTTTCAGGCAGATCGTTCCATATTGTCACTGTTCTTATTGAAAAAAAGTTTTTCCTAAGCATCATTGTTGCACGCTTAGGGTATACTAACAGTTACTGTGACGATCAGCGGCATTTTTCCAAAGTGTGATTGCATTACAACATTCTGTATCATATATTTCGTTTATAATTTTGTACAGTTCTATCATATCTCCCCTACATCTCCTGAAGGCCAACTGTTACCTATTAACCTCGACCCGGACAATCTCCCTACAGATATAACAGTAAACCAGGTATTGTTTTATAACTATAGACCAGGTAGCTTTTACAACCGTAAACCAAATAAAATGTATAACTAAGTTACCTGGAATTATTCATAACTATATCAGGTTATTTTTATAATTGTATGCCAGGTTTTGTTTAGAACTATCTACCAGGTAATTTGTACAACAGTATATATACCAGGAAATGTTTATAAACGTTTACCATGTTTTCAAATTTTAACAACGAAAATTCCACAAAACGTCGCAAACCCTGAGCTTCGAGCATAACTGAAAAATCTACTCAAACTGAACAAAAGGCTATAATATATTAGCATACATTTTGTAGTCTGGAAAACAGGTACAGGTCCCTTTACCGGCCGGTTAACACAAATCAAACAAATGTCCGCAATGGCACAAGTGTTACTCATTATTCTTCATTTCATTCTATAAACACGTCCATACCTACTCACACCTAATATTGTTGTCCGGTCACATAATAGCATAGGAAAAGTTCAAAAAGTACCGTACTCTTTACATGGACCGGTTTCTGTGAATTCTACACTGCGATTATAAATTTCCTACGAAAGCTCAAAAACAAGACTGCGCAAATTCAAAGCTGTAAACAGTAGTATGTATTATTAATATTAATCAAAAACATCCAAAAATCATGCGTATGTTATGTCAACCTGCATCCGCGATATCCAGGGGTTACGCTCACTTTCGCTCTCTGCACCCCTTGAATATGTCATGGCAAAATTGAAGGCAGGAAGATAGCTGTTTGATTGGTCACAGGTAAAAAAAAACCTGACCAATCGCTAAAGGCTGATACCTGTCCTTTGAAGATTACAAAGGAGAGACGCCCAACTGTCAATTTTTACCGTTCCCTGACCGCGAGATTCTTTTGATGTATATCAAAGGATCGAACTAGTTTTTTTGTCTCATCAACAAGGTGGCGCACACCGAGCCTTCAATTTTGCTATGACATATTCCAGGGGTGTAGAGAGCGACAGTGAGCGTGACCCGTGGATATTGAGGATGGTCAACCTGATGTATAGTTAGCACCAAACAATATACAAATGATTAGTGATCATCATGCAAAAGTAATGAACCCAGACTGATCTTAAAAGAGTTGATAAGAAAGCTCCTTATCACTTACAAAGACGATTTTATTTTAATTGCTTTATAAATTGGAAATTTCGAGACAGACAAGTGAAGATGAAATGAGCAAAAACAAAATACAACAGAGTTTAAACATAGCATACCTCTTCCGACTCGATGTCAGGTTCCTTCGCTCTGTCCTCATCGTTTGATGTCACATTCTGCAGGGTAACGTTCGTTGTTAATTACACGTGGCAATCATATCAGACGGATTAACATTGTAAACAGTACACAGGCCAACAATACAATTATTAACCCTTTCACCCCCGTAGACCATAATGAACTCATCAATATCAATGCATGGTTGAGTCTACTGAAGTTGCATAGGGGTGAAAGGGTTAACAATACAGTTATAAGTGGGGAAGACACAATTTGTTGTAAATATTTGCTCAATATCTTTAAACTATTTTCATTCCATTGTAAAAATCTTTGTACAACAACACCTTCTAGGGATGTTATCACAGCAACTATGTGTTGATTACAAAAAGCGTATCTTAACTCATTCACCCCTGAAGTTTTATAATGAACTATTCCAACCTTTATAATGGAAGGGTTCAAATGTGTCTTCAGGGGTGAATGAGTTAAGCTTTCACAGTGTCAACAGATAATTTCAATCAAACAAAAATGCGTGGTTTTAGTGATTAAATAGCATGAAAACTAGAACTCTGCCAAGCATATAGTGTTTTAGACTAGTCAATTTTTTTTCAGTTACTGACATTTCAAAAAGAAAGTTCGACTGGTGTATACTCGCAAATAGCCGTCCGTATTATCATAGGTATTTACTTTCTGTATAAATCTCCCAATTCAGTACCAGTGCCATGTCACATGTAGAATCTAAATGTCATGTTTAGATTCCACCAACCATGTTAATTGATTTAAAGTTTATAGTACAGATTATAATGTTGTTGGATCGTAACTTTTTATAAAGGAGGATAGTTCTATGCCATATACAACCTTGCGTTACATATATGACTTTTGGTAGCCAGGAGCTGGAGTTGTGTTGAGCGAGTGGAAGATAACAAAACTGTAGTAGGCCTAATATCATAAAAGAAATAACAAATTGTAAAAAAATTGAGAAAATAATATCGCTTCAAATGAAGATATAAATGGATTGTGTTTGAAAATGAGTGTGGTGTGTGAAAGTCTTCCTGCGAAAGGACCCTGTTTGGATGAGGAAATTAATATCCAGGTCACCTACCCTGGCATTGCCCTATTTATTAACTAAACTACAGTAATATGGTGAGACGGGAGATAACTCTATACTTAAAGTATAGAGTTATCACCTTATAGATTATAGAAAAGGTGATACCGAGGATGATGGAGAGATAATGAAACCATAGTATCTGATGGGAAGGGAGGTAACTCTACACTTAAAGTATAGAGTTATCACCTTATAGACTATAGAAAAGGTGATACCGAGGATGATGGAGAGATAACGAAACCAAAATAATCTGATGGGAAGGGAGATAACTCTATACTTAAAGTATAGAGTTATCACCTGATAGACTATAGAAAAGGTGATACCGAGGAAGATGGAGAGATAACGAAACCAAAGTAATCTGATGGGAAGGGAGATAACTCTATACTTAAAGTATAGAGGTATCACCTTATAGACTATAGAAAAGGTGATACCGAGGATGATGGAGAGATAACGAAACCATAGTTATCTGATGGGAAGGAAGATGGAGAGATAACAAAACCATAGTTATCTGATGGGAAGGGAGATAACTCTATGCTTAAAGTATATAGTTATCACCTGATAGACTATAGAAAAGGGGATACCGAGGAAGATGGAGAGATAACGAAACCAAAGTAATCTGATGGGAAGCGAGATAACTCTATACTTAAAGTATAGAGTTATCACCTTATAGACTATAGAAAAGGTGATACCAAGGAAGATGGAGAGATAACAAAACCATAGTTATCTGATGGGAAGGGAGATAACTCTATACTTAAAGTATATAGTTATCACCTGATAGACTATAGAAAAGGTGATACCGAGGATGATGGAGAGATAATGAAACCATAGTAACCTGATGGGAAGGGAGGTAACTCTATACTTAAAGTATAAAATTATCACCTGATAGACTATAAAGAAGGTGATTCCGAGGATGATGGAGAGATAACGAAACCATAGTAATCTGATGGGAAGGGAGATAACTCTATACTTAAAGTATAGAGTTATCGCCTGATAGACTATAGAAAAGGTGATACCAAGGAAGATGGAGAGATAACAAAACCATAGTAATCTGATGGGAAGGGAGATAACTCTATACTTAAAGTATAGAGTTATCACCTGATAGACTATAGAAAAGGTGATACCGAGGATGATGGAGAGATAACGAAACCATAGTAATCTGATGGGAAGGGAGATAACTCTATACTTAAAGTATAGAGTTATCACCTGATAGACTATAGAAAAGGTGATACCGAGGATGATGGAGAGATAACGAAACCATAGTAATCTGATGGGAAGGGAGATAACTCTATACTTAAAGTATAGAGTTATCACCTGATAGACTATAGAAAAGGTGATACCGAGGATGATGGAGAGATAACGAAACCATAGTAATCTGATGGGAAGGGAGGTAACTCTATACTTAAAGTATAGAGTTATCACCTGATAGACTATAGAAAAGGTGATACCGAGGATGATGGAGAGATAACGAAACCATAGTAATCTGATGGGAAGGGAGATAACTCTATACTTAAAGTATAGAGTTATCACCTGATAGACTATAGAAAAGGTGATACCGAGGATGATGGAGAGATAACGAAACCATAGTAATCTGATGGGAAGGGAGATAACTCTATACTTAAAGTATAGAGTTATCACCTGATAGACTATAGAAAAGGTGATACCGAGGATGATGGAGAGATAACGAAACCATAGTAATCTGATGGGAAGGGAGATAACTCTATACTTAAAGTATAGAGTTATCACCTGATAGACTATAGAAAAGGTGATACCGAGGATGATGGAGAGATAACGAAACCATAGTAATCTGATGGGAAGGGAGATAACTCTATACTTAAAGTATAGAGTTATCACCTGATAGACTATAGAAAAGGTGATACCGAGGATGATGGAGAGATAACGAAACCATAGTAATCTGATGGGAAGGGAGATAACTCTATACTTAAAGTATAGAGTTATCACCTGATAGACTATAGAAAAGGTGATACCGAGGATGATGGAGAGATAACGAAACCATAGTAATCTGATGGGAAGGGAGATAACTCTATACTTAAAGTATAGAGTTATCACCTGATAGACTATAGAAAAGGTGATACCGAGGATGATGGAGAGATAACGAAACCATAGTAATCTGATGGGAAGGGAGATAACTCTATACTTAAAGTATAGAGTTATCACCTGATAGACTATAGAAAAGGTGATACCGAGGATGATGGAGAGATAACGAAACCATAGTAATCTGATGGGAAGGGAGATAACTCTATACTTAAAGTATAGAGTTATCACCTGATAGACTATAGAAAAGGTGATACCGAGGATGATGGAGAGATAACGAAACCATAGTAATCTGATGGGAAGGGAGATAACTCTATACTTAAAGTATAGAGTTATCACCTGATAGACTATAGAAAAGGTGATACCGAGGATGATGGAGAGATAACGAAACCATAGTAATCTGATGGGAAGGGAGATAACTCTATACTTAAAGTATAGAGTTATCACCTGATAGACTATAGAAAAGGTGATACCGAGGATGATGGAGAGATAACGAAACCATAGTAATCTGATGGGAAGGGAGATAACTCTATACTTAAAGTATAGAGTTATCACCTGATAGACTATAGAAAAGGTGATACCGAGGATGATGGAGAGATAACGAAACCATAGTAATCTGATGGGAAGGGAGATAACTCTATACTTAAAGTATACAGTTATCACCTGATAGACTTTAGAACAGGTGATACCGAGGATGATGGAGAGATAATGAAACCATAGTAAACTGATGGGAAGGGAGGTAACTCTATACTTAGAGTATAGAGTTATCACCTGATAGACTATAGAAAAGGTGATACCGAGGTTGATGGAGAGATAACGAAACCATAGCAATCTGATGGGAAGGGAGATAACTCTATACTTAAAGTATAGTGTTATCACCTGATAGACTATAGAAAAGTTGATACCGAGGATGATGGAGAGATAACGAAAACATAGTAATCTGATGGGAAGGGAGATAACTCTATACTTAAAGTATGGAGTTATCACCTTATAGACTATAGAAAAGGTGATACCAAGGAAGATAGAGAGATAACGAAACCATAGTAATCTGATGGGAAGGGAGATAACTCTTTACTTAAAGTATGGAGTTATCACCTTATAGACCATAGAAAAGGTGATACCAAGGAAGATAGAGAGATAACGAAACCATAGTAATCTGATGAGAAGGGAGATAACTCTATACTTAAAGTATAGAGTTATCACCGGTTAGACTATAGAAAAGGTGATACCAAGGATGATGGAGAGAGAAAGAAAAAATAGTGATCTGATGGGAAGGGAGATAACTCTATACTTAATGTATACAGTTATCACCTGATAGACTATAAAGAAGGTGATACCGAGGATGATGGAGAGATAAAGAAAAAATAGTGATCTGATGGGAAGGGAGGTAACTCTATACTTAAAGTATAGAGTTATCACCTGATAGACCATAGAAAAGGTGATACCGAGGATGATGGAGAGATAATGAAACCATAGTAAACTGATGGGAAGGGAGGTAACTCTATACTTAGAGTATAGAGTTATCACCTGATAGACTATAGAAAAGGTGATACCGAGAATGATGGAGAGATAACGAAACCATAGTAATCTGATGGGAAGGGAGGTAACTCTATACTTAAAGTATACAGTTATCACCTGATAAACTATAAAGAAGGTGATACCGAGGATGATGGAGAGATAAAGAAAAAATAGTGATCTGATGGGAAGGGAGATAACTCTATACTTAAAGTATACAGTTATCACCTGATAAACTATAAAGAAGGGGATACCGAGGATGATGGAGAGATAAAGAAAAAATAGTGATCTGATGGGAAGGGAGGTAACTCTATACTTAAAGTATAGAGTTATCACCTGATAGACTATAGAAAAGGTGATACCAAGGAAGATAGAGAGATAACGAAACCATAGTAATCTGATGGAAAGGCAGATAACTCTATACTTAAAGTATAAGAGTTATCACCTGATAGACTATAAAGAAGGTGATACCGAGGATGATGGAGAGATAACGAAACCATAGTGATCTGATGGGAAGGGAGGTAACTCTATACTAAAAGTATAGAGTTATCACCTTATAGACTATAGAACAGGTGATACCGAGGATGATGGAGAGATAACGAAACCATAGTAATCTGATGGAAAGGGAGATAACTCTATACTTAAAGTATAAGAGTTATCACCTGATAGACTATAAAGAAGGTGATACCGAGGATGATGGAGAGATAACAAAACCATAGTAATCTGATGGAAAGGGAGATAACTCTATACTTAAAGTATACAGTTATCACCTGATAGACTATAGAAAAGGTGATACCAAGGATAAATCTAGTCTCAAGGTACCTTAATGATGGAGAGACAACTAAACTACAGTAACCTGATGAGAAGGGATATAACTTTATATGTAAATGCATGATGGGGATAACTAAAACAACATAATCATGTTTATAATTATACCTACTGTCACTTTGTGACTCCGTGAACGAAGAGATAACTTAATCTTAAAGAGCAGCATAATGGTATCGGGGATAACCTAAGCTACAATACCCTATGTGATAACATAACTATGGGGGATAACCTAAGCTACAATTCCCTATATGATAACATAACTATGGGGGATAACCTAAGCTACAATACCCTATATGATAACATAACTATGGGGGATAACCTAAGCTACAATTCCCTATATGATAACATAACTATGGGCGAGGAACAACGATCTTACAAGTAACTCAATCAAAGAAGGTGAATAACTCTTTATCTTAATAATTGAGTTATATGGGATATAACTCAATGTTAATTGTCAAGCTGATCAAAGAAAAATATATGTACTTACAGTGCCCTGGTGATCGGGGAGACTGCAGCCGACATCTGCTGGATCTAAATTAAAACGTGTTTTATTTTAAAACTAACATAATAATCAAAACAAAATGAGTTAAACCATGTTGTGTGTTCAACAAGACCTGTTGGTGATAAATTACATCTCATTCGACCGTTAACATACCCTACTCTGTATCAACTCTCGGGCCATATCAAACCTATCCCGCATCAACCCTCGGGCAAAATCAACCATTGAGCCAGTCATATTTTGACCTTTTTGGTATATATACAACACATTGTAATTCTTAGAAATAACACAAATCAAGTAAAATTGAGGCAATGTATTTTCTGCTGAATTTCAAATCGACCGGGTGTGTGGCATGTTGCAGGGAAAATGGTGCGGCCCGTTTACAGCTAAAAGTGTTTTATATGTAGTACACCCATTTCACGAATATGTATATTGTTATATTAATAATATCCCAACAATCTGCCACCTGTCAGGTGAGATCTACATTATCCTCAGCATTATGGATATTTAAGACTAGGATATGCAAATTACAATCTTGTTAATCTATTGTTTTCGAATCGAATCACAAATCAAGCATTATCTAGTGCACAATTTTGAAAAGGGAAGCAGATATATGAAAAGGGAAGCAGGTGGTCGTAGTATTTTTATGCCATGTTATACCAACTGAATCATACCACTTCTCGAACTCATAGCCACCACCTGGTTTGATATCAGATCAGCAAATTTCACATTCCAAATCAGGGTGTCACTTTACTCCGAAAATGTTAGAGGTTTACACGGCGAGATACTTTTGACAGGCGCTGCGTAACAGTCGGCAAAATCATATCTGATAATAAAAAGACGACCAGCGGCCTCTTATGTTATAGGAGTAGATATCACTCGATCTTTGCCCCCAGGGTCCATTAACAGATTGAGTATTACATTTAGTTAACATATATTTACAAATAACACATATGATCTGGTTTTTCGTGATTCTAAATGGTTAGTTCTTGGTTTCAGGTTAGGCGATATAAAGCATATTATCTCCACGTTTTTATTTTTGTCATGCACATGACCGTGTCAACCTCCTGTTTTTAAATCAACATCACAAATTTCTTTCTGAAAACCACTCCCTGATTCTCACGTTTCGGATATCTTGTATCTCCGGTTATCTGAAGTGAACACGTGATAGATACAGAGGCTGTTCATTATTGGTATCTATAACTAAAAATAATAAACCATGTTTGATCGTATTTGAGTCCTTAGTCTGACGTTTCGAGCCAGGTACATAATAATAATCTTTGATTAATGTCGTGTACAATTGTCAACAACAAACAAAGCTCTGTAGAGCTTGTATTACGACGCCGCTAAGGGAACAAATGGTGTTTTCATGGTGGAGGAAAACCCACGGGGGGAAAACCACCGTGCCATCGGAGGGATAACAACTAACCCTATCAGACTTCAATCTCTTTCTTCCGCCACCGCTGGGGATCGAACCGAAATTCTTCAGAGAGCGAGTGGTCTAAGCTCAGGCTTGATTGCACACAGTAGTACAATGACTGCATGTGTGCGTTATTGATCACGGCTACCGAGACACCATGAACATCCACTTATCTAAGCATAAGGCTGAACCTTTGTGAATGATACCTTGTTAACATCTTTGCCCCATCCCCTAACTAATAGGAAGAGGGATCAACTTGAGCCCCATTCTGCCAAGTTTGTTCCCCTGCAAAAATACCATTATTGAGGAGTAAAAGGGTAAAAACTATTCTTCTGATTTTCCTGTAAAACTTATGTGATATTTGACCATTCAGTGGCTTTGTTTAGGACGCGTGGGGCCTGGTTTTAAGAAATTGCACTCAAATCACCATGTTCCAAGAATGGGCCCCGGATTAAAGCCTGTGTAGTGGCATGGTCTCAGAGAATAAGTTAAAACAATGTTCACTACACATGTTGTGTCGAAGCACAAGCTACCTTACCGACAATGTGAGCAAAAATGTCACTTACACCACGACAAGTTTAGTCTCGCGTGCTGGTGTGACACTTACCTGGGACAAGTAAGAAGAAGACGAGGACACCGAGAATTCCGATAATGATGCCGGGAAGAACAAAGGACCAGCCCCATGCACCAGTTACAAACGAACCGGCGATTAAGGAGCCAAGGATATTACCAACAGAGGTGTGAGAATTCCAGATGCCCATGATCAGACCGCGCCTACAAACAACGAAATAAAACTTACATACATGTCCATGCTTAATAACTGATAATGTTTTTACCCTATTTAGGCAATGACCCTAACCCTAACCCTGCCTCTGTCCCTATCCCCCATTGATCCTACAACTCTTTAACAGGCAGTGACTGACCTTCATAGCGTAGTTTCCTACCCCTTTATTACAGACGTTTCCACATCCTTTCCATACAGAAAAGTTCCCACAAGACTTCAATACAGACAGGTTACCCGAACCTTCATCCCCAGAGAGTTACTTAACTCATTCACCCCTGAAGACACATTTGAACTCTTCCAATTCAAAGGTTGTAATGGTTCATTATGAAATTTCAGGGGTGAATGAGTTAACTTCATTCCCCATCCCTGGACAGTTACTTTAATTTTCATTACATTGAGGTCCCCAACCATTATCTACAAACCGTGATTCACACCCCGAGACAGTTATCTATCTCAGTTCACCTACATGCAGTGACCTCTTACCAAAACCCCTCCAGGCAGTGACCCACATTCTTATCCTCGACTTCTACCGCAGTATGCCATTTATCATCAAGTTTGATGTTCAACTCGAAGCTTGCAAGGGGTCTTTGATATGGGAGGAAATCATCTATCTTTGTAAAAGGCGGTCACACTTGTCCCTGCCCCACCGAACCAACACAACTGTCTCTCACCCAGACAATGGACCTTTTTAATACTTCCAACTGGACATTTTCTCATTTAATGTCTTCAGTTATCCCCCTCTCCCTGTATTCCTTCGTCTAAGATCGTAAATTATTAGTCTCCGAGTTCATAATAATGACAGTAACAAGACAGGTAAAATAACAGGACTGTAAAATGCTAGTTTAGGTAACTAAACATTGAATGGAACATGGCATGGAGAAGCACTAGGCAATGGAACACGGCAGAGAGAAGCACTAGGCAATGGAACACGGCAGGGAGAAGCACTAGGCAATGGAACACGGCAGGGAGAAGCACTAGGCAATGGAACACGGCAGGGAGAAGCACTAGGCAATGGAACACGGCAGGGAGAAGCACTAGGCAATGGAACACGGCAGGGAGAAGCACTAGGCAATGGAACACGGCAGGGAGAAGCACTAGGCAATGGAACACGGCAGGGAGAAGCACTAGGCAATGGAACACGGCAGGGAGAAGCACTAGGCAATGGAACACGGCAGGGAGAAGCACTAGGCAATGGAACACGGCAGGGAGAAGCACTAGGCAATGGAACACGGCAGGGAGAAGCACTAGGCAATGGAACACGGCAGGGAGAAGCACTAGGCAATGGAACACGGCAGGGAGAAGCACTAGGCAATGGAACACGGCAGGGAGAAGCACTAGGCAATGGAACACGGCAGGGAGAAGCACTAGGCAATGGAACATGGCAGGGAGAAGCACTAGGCAATGGAACATGGCAGGGAGAAGCACTAGGCAATGGAACATGGCAGGGAGAAGCACTAGGCAATGGAACATGGCAGGGAGAAGCACTAGGCAATGGAACATGGCAGGGAGAAGCACTAGGCAATGGAACATGGCAGGGAGAAGCACTAGGCAATGGAACATGGCAGGGAGAAGCACTAGGCAATGGAACATGGCAGGGAGAAGCACTAGGCAATGGAACATGGCAGGGAGAAGCACTAGGCAATGGAACACGGCAGGGAGAAGCACTAGGCAATGGAACACGGCAGGGAGAAGCACTAGGCAATGGAACACGGCAGGGAGAAGCACTAGGCAATGGAACATGGCAGGGAGAAGCACTAGGCAATGGAACATGGCAGGGAGAAGCACTAGGCAATGGAACATGGCAGGGAGAAGCACTAGGCAATGGAACATGGCAGGGAGAAGCACTAGGCAATGGAACATGGCAGGGAGAAGCACTAGGCAATGGAACATGGCAGGGAGAAGCACTAGGCAATGGAACATGGCAGGGAGAAGCACTAGGCAATGGAACATGGCAGGGAGAAGCACTAGGCAATGGAACATGGCAGGGAGAAGCACTAGGCAATGGAACACGGCAGGGAGAAGCACTAGGCAATGGAACACGGCAGGGAGAAGCACTAGGCAATGGAACACGGCAGGGAGAAGCACTAGGCAATGGAACACGGCAGGGAGAAGCACTAGGCAATGGAACACGGCAGGGAGAAGCACTAGGCAATGGAACATGGCAGGGAGAAGCACTAGGCAATGGAACATGGCAGGGAGAAGCACTAGGCAATGGAACACGGCAGGGAGAAGCACTAGGCAATGGAACACGGTAGGGAGAAGCACTAGGCAATGGAACACGGTAGGGAGAAGCACTAGGCAATGGAACATGGCAGGGAGAAGCACTAGGCAATGGAACATGGTAGGGAGAAGCACTAGGCAATGGAACACGGCAGGGAGAAGCACTAGGCAATGGAACACGGTAGGGAGAAGCACTAGGCAATGGAACACGGTAGGGAGAAGCACTAGGCAATGGAACATGGCAGGGAGAAGCACTAGGCAATGGAACATGGCAGGGAGAAGCACTAGGCAATGGAACACGGTAGGGAGAAGCACTAGGCAATGGAACACGGTAGGGAGAAGCACTAGGCAATGGAACATGGCAGGGAGAAGCACTAGGCAATGGAACATGGTAGGGAGAAGCACTAGGCAATGGAACACGGTAGGGAGAAGCACTAGGCAATGGAACACGGTAGGGAAAAGCACTAGGCAATGGAACATGGCAGGGAGAAGCACTAGGCAATGGAACATGGTAGGGAGAAGCACTAGGCAATGGAACACGGCAGGGAGAAGCACTAGGCAATGGAACATGGTAGGGAGAAGCACTAGGCAATGGAACACGGTAGGGAGAAGCACTAGGCAATGGAACACGGTAGGGAGAAGCACTAGGCAATGGAACACGGTAGGGAGAAGCACTAGGCAATGGAACATGGCAGGGAGAAGCACTAGGCAATGGAACATGGCAGGGAGAAGTACTAGGCAATGACATGAATTAGCGTAGGAATTATTGAAGTTGAAGGACCCAGTGAGCGGAGTTAAACAGTGTGAGAAAAACAAGACAAAACCAATGAGAAGAACTAGCGCAAGGAAAGGAAAATGTAAGGATGAAGAGAAACAACGCAGTGATGGGAGGATCTAGAAAAGGTAATTTTTGAAGGCAATATCAGAAAACAGGCAGTGTTCAGGAACTAGAATATGAGATGAAATCTGTAATGTAGGGAACTAAACAGTGAGAAGGACTGAACACTAAGACAACCAGGCAGACGGAGGAACTAGAAAGCAGGAAAGCTCGGCAGATGGAGGAAAAGATAGCAAAAACGGCAACCAGACAGAGAAACTAGATAGCAAGAACGCCGGACCAGTGGAGGAAACCGGTAGTGAGTACAGGTGGGACATCTTCTATTTAATGTTATTAATAATGCTTAACTTTTATCAAATCAAAAATAAGGATGATTATTGTATACTTACTTGCCCTTACCATACCAGTTCCCCATACAAGAAACTACAGCAGGCCAGCCTGTGGACTGGAACATACCGCCAACCACCTATAATACAAACGTTACTTTCAACAGCTGTGAAAACAAGTCTTTAACAGGAACATACCGCCTACCACCTATAATACAAACATTACATTCAACAGCTGTGAAAACAAGTCTTTAACAGGAACATACCACCTACCACCTATAATACAAACGTTACTTTCAACAGCTGTGAAAACAAGTCTTTAACATGAAACTCCCACCAACAAACAACAGTACAAATATATATATCAATTAATGATGAACGTCGTGTTTTGATAGAACATCCAGCTAATGACTTACAAAACAAATATATACCCTAATGCAGTGGCATCTGTGTATTTAGCTGGAACATCGAACCCTCCACAATACAAATAGTCAGACATAAGCAGTGAAAATGTGTATTTTATTAAAAGAAAATATGAAAGAATGATTAGTCATAAGAATGCTTCTTATCACTTGACTCGGGTTATGATGAAATCCATGTTTTGTCACTTCAATTGCTAATAAACGTCTGTGAATTTTTACTTCAAAGGTTATATATACATTCTGTTGTGCTGTTACCTGAATGGCTATATAATATCCTAAGTTGTGGATGTTCCAGAAATAGCCCATGCCAAACGCAGCGGTCAGTAGTCCACTCATGATCATCCCTCCGGACAGGAAGTACCGTAGACTCATCCTTTCCGCAATGTGTCCACTGCAATGACACAAATGTTTCCAGAGTTATCTCCCCTACTGAAATATCATCAGAATACTGTGTTGTTCTTGTGATAGGATAATTTTATCATAGCTTTCAATAAAAGTTCTATCAACAAGCATAAAACACCCAAAGCCTACCACTATTCTCTCGCTTGCTGCAGTGCTAACTTTACATATAAATTAAGGCACTAAAGGGAGATAATTTCCCATACAGAGAAGGGATTGTCATGTTTAGAGAATATCTAAAATAATATATCAATCAAGACATGACAGTCTACATTACATGCTTCTGCAAATTATTTTTAGAAAAGTTTGTAAGCATTTGGGATTCATTCTATTAATAACACTCATAACATGTACCTCAATTCTGATGTTTACATAAAAAAACACAGAAATCTCTTTTCGCCTCACTAGATCATGCCCTATAGTTCACGATTAATTTTAAATAAGTTATTTTAGCAAACGGTTGAAAAAGTCATTTTGAAGAATCATTGTTGTGTTTCTTTCATACTGATGATTTTCTTCAGTTCAAAAACCACAATCGAGAACCATTTAAGTTTAAACTTGATATCATGACACAATGGTCTCTCCACTAACAGCAAGGCTGAAGCCCGAGCAGATTCCAAATGGAATTTTATTTGGAGATAGTTTATAAGTTTAGAGTCAATAGAACGGAAATATGAACAATTTCTGAATATTTCTCCTATGCAAAGAATTATTTGGTATAAAGCACTTAAGTTGAGGGTCATTAGTTACTAACAGAACGTAAACATTTCTGTGGAAAGATTACGTCATAAAGAGATAATATGTCACGTGAAGACAATATGTCACGTACAGCAACAGCTGATAGCGTAGTAAAATCAATAGATTCTGCGGTACATACCTGAAGAACATACTGATAGCGTAGGCAAACAGGTAAACAAGATCCAGGGTCCCGAACAGCTCACTGTAATCGCTTCCGTCTACAACAACGCAAAATTCCTCTCAAAACATTCGGACGTCATTTATTTCAAAACGTTATCAAGATTTCATTTCTGGCATTATTTTTCATGATCTCTGCTTGTTTGAAGCATTTTACAAAAACAAATGTGAAAAAAATAATGCCACCTTATACAAATCATCATTTATAGGGATATTATACCAGTTATCTGTAAGAATTGCTTCTATTTCTTTTATCATTACAAATTAACCAAATAGTTTTAAGGCTAAACTTGCATTCTAAATGTGTCATCATCGAATGAACTAAATAATGACCACCATGGAATGCTGCTTATAATGACCCTGCTGCGTTTTAACACTTATAACAATGTTGCTGATCTTTTTATTTATTTCTATTTTTCATGATATTCCTGCTAGGAACCAGTTTTTTTCCGAAATTATTTATGAAACCTTCATTCAGACCAGAAAGGCAGTTTCCAATGCAAAGTTGAAGTTTTTCGCAGTAGGACGGGGGTCCAGAACCGGTCATGCTTTAAAACGTCCTCATGAAAGGACAATTATTAGCCAGCGTCCCCTGACAAAATGTTTCAAAATACTATTTAAAGTCAGAGGCATTAGAAGATATGATATTCACATAATTGATAATGATAATTCCAGGTTCTTATATACCGCTTTATCACAACCTAGTTCATAGGTCGTCTCAAAGCGGTTCACAAATGATTATCCATGGTTATAGGGCCTTTGCAACCAGCCAACATCTTTCTTAACTCCCTAGGGAGCATACAGCCGGCGCTCACAGCTAGCATTCAACAATTCTAGCACTGCCCACATACTCATTTACAGCTGAGTAGACTGGAACAAGCGGAGGAAAGTATCTTACTCAAAGATACAGCGATGTGCCGTACATGACTCGAACCCGCAACCCTTCGGTCACGAGCCCCGCGTCCTACAGTGTTACACAACCGTGCCTCCTAAATGATTTTAATACACCAACTACTGATATTCATTTTGATTTGCGACAAACGGATTCATTAGTATTGAATATAATTTTACAATAGACGGTGTCACACAAGTGTATTTGTAGGTACAATCCCACACAGCTTCAGACTAAACATGTATCGCCAAAAATGATCAATAATTAAAGGAAGCGACAGATGTTGTTTGTATGACTAGCAAACATAAATATATGCTAAATTCAGTTTGATATTTGAGAACAAAGCCAAGCAATGATACATTTTATTTTTAACGACGACAGCATATCTATATACAACATTTGATATAGCGCCCTATCTAGCTAACATAAGCCACTCTAAAGCGCTTTACAGTACATAGATATACAATTAATACAATAAGGATATACAGCTTTTGAGGAATTCGCAGGAGCTGCCTTATCAGGTGCTAACTGCTAGTCCTAAGCCACCTGGCTAATATCTCCCTATGTGTGTATGCCGGCGTGTTTGCTGGAGATGTATTGTGTTCTGTTTGTAGTGGGACCATGCTTCCAACGGCATCTTTTATATAGCCACCTCACTTGAATGCTAGAGCACAGATACCGCAACATCCACCCCAGACCATTGTATACACCACCTGGGTTGTTGGAGTAGTGTGGGCAGGAGAAAAACACTTTCTCTGATATTCCATGTGTGCGACGACTTCGGCATATGTCAAGTGTCTCTTTTGTGTTATTTTTCAAACGTATTGCGTATTACAACTCCAAAAGAATACATTTATAAACTTATTAAATAAACTCAATGTAGAACTCACAGCTACGTGAAAATGCATAATAATGGTCTTAATACGTATAAAATTAACATTTTGTTATGAAAACGTATTGAAGAGTATTAAGATGGAAATGTACAATGCGCTTGTGTTATGTTCGAGTTTCGTATGGTCTTTTTGAGAAAATTGTCGTCCATAATGAAAAGAAATGTGTAAGATTCTTTGCGTGGTCTAAATATCTTGTGCTACATCGTATATTAATAAAAGTTAGCCACGGGAACGTATAACGGACCCGACGCAGATGAACCATGTCCATGTCCATATAAACGTACTCTTTTCAAGAGTGTGGCCAATGTTGTCAAGTTTAAAGATTAGTTTAAGGATGCACTAATTAATGAAGTTCTTTAAACACACATATGTCAAGACGACGATCGTAAAAATTATATTCGTCATAACTCAACAAATTTTCTAAAAATCATTTCAAAATATAACTATCCTATCTTCTGATGCCCTTACCTCATTTAGTAAGTACGTTTAAAGATTTTGTCTAGCAACGCATGTTGTCGCTTGAAGACGCGACGCCAGCTAACAGGGTTGTATATTTATTAGGGTATACCACATTACAAGAGGATATGGACGTGATGAGTTTATGCTGTTAAATGTATACACATCAACCCAGTTAAAACACGTTTTAATTGTAACGACGGTCAGCAGTTACCAAAGTCTCCGATTATTGACGTCAAACTGATCGTGCAAGACTGTCATATTGCTATTATAACATACATACCGAATGGCTTCCAGTCACACCAGGTCGTATCGTTGCCAAGGTGATGAACCCCCGAATCCTCCGTTACCTTAGAGCAGTTCCTGTGTAACACGCTCTAGAGAAGAAACAAAGTTAAGACAGTGTGATTTAACATCAATAAATCTCCCTCCCAAACCCCTTTTCCCAGGTAGAATTACTAGTTTTTAATACAAGAATTCCACGGGAGTGGATGTGTCGCCTGCTCAGTGCTTTACTAAAGTACATGATGTTGTTTCTATTCCAAAATTTTTAACAGTAGGAGATAGAAAATTTACAATTTTACACACCAGACTTAGGAACGAATGCAGCAGTCTTCAATATGACGTTTATAGAGTTAACCTCAGTGATAACCCTTTATGTTTATGTGGGGAAGTAGAAAATGTACATCACTATTTCTATACATGTCCAAATTACTCAACTGTAAGAAATCATGTGCACCTGGTAAGAAATCTTAGGAACTTAAATCTTCCAGAGATCCTTCTAACAGACATAAACACACTTCTCTGGGGTAATCATGATCTCACTTTTGAACAAAACAGTAAAACCTTTAACTATGTATGTAAGTACATTAAGGATACAAACCGCTTCTAGTAAGTAGTCTTAATTACACCATTACATCATGTTCGAAGAATTGAATTTTCTTTATCTGTGTGAAACCCTCGGTTAATTCTCTATGAGTAGGTCGGGGTACAGAGAAACAGTCGTCAACAACTTATTTTAATAATTCAACTTAAATTTAAAAAAAAAAAAAATATGAAATGTACATGTTAAGATAGCTATGATGTACGTAAACTGTATTCAAGTTAGGAGAGGGCTTAATTAAGTTGTAAGAACTTGTGCCCAGTCCTTTTTGTCATTTTCAAGGCAATAAAACTAAAGTACATGGTGACCCTTTGAAGGTTGTTACCTTGATCAGTTCATGTCAATGACTCTCAGAATGAATCGTGACGCGAACATGATCAACATATTTATTATTCAGGCGATCTGGGGTCAAAAAAGATAAAAAAAACAAAAAAAAACATAACAGCTGTTTACTTATCTTTACTTAAGTAAATACTTTGCCAAGACATGAGACTAATGTAAAAGCTCGATAGTTATCCAGATTTTTAGGGTCACCCTCCTTTTTGTATATGGGTTTTATTACTCCAATTGTCCATGCTTCTGGTACACAGCCAGAGTTCAATATGACATTAAAAAGTTTAACATATATTTGTAGTAGTATAGACTGTTTATTTTTGATATGCTCATTTAATATATTATCGATACCCGGCGCTTTATTATTACGAAGGTTTAACTATAACCTGTCTAATTTCATTTTCAGTCACATCACTATTTAGTATAAAATCAAACATATTTTCATTCATATCTGGAATAATAAACTCATCCTCATCCTCGTCTGAGCAATTTAATTTCTTGAAGTATTCATATAACTCGTCCAAAGATATATCAGCATCACTGTTATCATTTTTAGATTTATTGAATGAATTTAAAATATTCCAAAAATCTTTAGGATTTGATTTTGACGTGATCCGTATTTGATTTCAATGTTATGTCTCTATGTGTAATAGCTCTTTTTAAGGACCTTTTTATAGTTTCTAGAGGTTTTATTCATGTTAACTTGGTTACTACTGGTTCTATGATTTTCATATTTATGTTTTGCATCAAAAAGGCACGCCATTTTCTGTGACAGTCAGCTGTAAGCCATGGCTTATCATTAGCAACTTAACTCATTCACCCCTGAAATTCCATAATGAACTATTCCAACCTTTGAATTGGAAGGGTTCAAATGTGTCTTCAGGGGTCAATGAGTTAATGTGTATTGAGTGTTTTATAATTTTGTTTTATTTCGAAAGTATCGGTAGCTGAATTTCGGAACAACTCGGAAATATGATTAACTACATCATTTACCTCAGATTTACTGACAGAAGTCTTGTCAGACAAAACATTAAAAACATCAAATACATGATTTAATTTATCGACAGAACAACTTTGTAAATGATGTATATATTCATTTTAGTCACTTAGTCATTTTGTAGCCCCAGGGTTTTTGGTAGACCTTCAGAACCATCACTAGGTCATTGTGAAGCCCCAGTGTACTAATAGGCCTACCATAACATCACGTGGTTAGTTTCTAGCCCCAAGGTCTTGATAGGCGGTAAGTACCATCACTAGGTTAGTTTATAGCCCCAGTGTACAAATAGGCCTTCCATACCATCACTTGGTTAGTTTATAGCCCCAAGGACTTGATAGGCGGTAAGTACCATTACTAGGTCATTGTGTATAGCCCCAGTGTACTAATAGGCCTACCATACCATCACTTGGTTAGTTTATAGCCCCAAGGTATTGATAGGCAGTAAGTACCATCACTAGGTTAGTTTATAGCCCCAAGGACTTGATATGCGGTAAGTACCATCACTAGGTCATTGTGAAGCCCCAATGTACTAATAGGCCTTCCATACCATCACTAGGTTAGTTTATAGCCCCAAGGACTTGATATGCGGTAAGTACCATCACTAGGTCATTGTGAAGCCCCAATGTACTAATAGGCCTTCCATACCATCACTTGGTTAGTTTATAGCCCCAAGGTATTGATAGGCAGTAAGTAGCATCACTAGGTTAGTTTATAGCCCCAAGGACTTGATAGGCAGTAAGTACCATCACTAGGTTAGTTTATAGCCCCAAGGACTTGATAGGCAGAAAGTACCATTACTAGGTTAGTTTAAAGCCCCAAGGACTTGTTAGGCAGTAAGTACCATCACTAGGTTAGTTTAAAGCCCCATGGACTTGATAGGCAGTAAGTACCATCACTAGGTCATTGTGTAGCCCCAGAGTACTAATAGGCCTTCCATACCATCACTGGGTTAGTTTATAGCCCCAAGGGCTTGATAGGCGGTAAGTACCGTCACTTAAAATAGGTCATTGTGTAGCCCCAGAGTACTAATAGGCCTTCCATACCATCACTAGGTTAGTTTAAAGCCCCAAGGACTTGATAGGCGGTAAGTACCGTCACTTAAAATAGGTCATTGTGTAGCCCCAGTGTACTAATAGGCCTTCCATACCATCACTGGGTTAGTTTATAGCCCCAAGGACTTGATAGGCGGTAAGGACCATCACTAGGTTAGTTTAAAGCCACCAGGACTTGATAGGCGGTAAGTACCGTCACTAGGTTAGTTTAAAGCCCCAAGGACTTGATAGGCGGTAAGTATCATCAGTAGGTTAGTTTATAGCCCAAGTGTACTAATAGGCCTACCATACCATCACTTGGTAAGTTTCTGCCCTAAGGACTTGATAGGCAGTAAGTACCAACACTTGGAAAGTTTATAGCTCCAAGGACTTGATAGGCAGTAAGTACCATCACTAGGTCATTGTGTAGCCCCAGTGTACTAATAGGCCTACCAAACCATCACTTGTTAAGTTTATAGCCCTAAGGACTTGATAGGCGGTAAGTATCATCAGTAGGTTAGTTTATAGCCCCAGTGTACTAATAGGCCTACCATACCATCACTTGGTAAGTTTCTGCCCTAAGGACTTGATAGGCAGTAAGTACCATCACTAGGTCATTGTGTATAGCCCCAGTGTACTAATAGGCCTTCCATACCATCACTAGGTTAGTTTATAGCCCCAGGATCTTGATAGGCAGAAAGTACCAACACTTGGTAAGTTTATAGCTCCAAGGACTTGATAGGCAGTAAGTACCATCACTAGGTAATTGTGTAGCCTCAGTGTACTAATAGGCCTTCCATACCATCACTAGGTTAGTTTATAGCCCCAGTGTACTAATAGGCCTTCCATAACATCACTGTACCATCACTAGGTTAGTTTATAGCCCCAAGGACTTGATAGGCGCACTAGGTCATTATGTAGCCCCAGTGTACTAATAGGCCTACCATACCATCACTAGGTTAGTTTATAGCCCCAGTGTACTAATAGGCCTTCCATAACATCACTAGGTTAGTTTATAGCCCCAAGGACTTGATAGGCGGTAAGTACCATTACTAGGTCATTGTTTAGCCCCAGTATACTAATAGGCCTTCCATACCATCACTAGGTTAGTTTATAGCCCCAAGGACTTGATAGGCAGTAAGTACCATTACTAGGTCATTGTTTAGCCCCAGAGTACTAATAGGCCTTCCATACCATCACTAGGTTAGTTTATAGCCCCAAGGACTTGATAGGCGGTAAGTACCATCACTAGGTCATTGTGTAGCCCCAATGTACTAATAGGCCTTCCATACCATCACTAGGTTAGTTTATAGCCCCAAGGACTTGATAGGCAGAAAGTACCATCACTAGGTTAGTTTAAAGCCCCAAGGACTTGTTAGGCAGTAAGTACCATCACTAGGTTAGTTTAAAGCCCCATGGACTTGATAGGCAGTAAGTATCATCACTAGGTCATTGTGTAGCCCCAGTGTACTAATAGGCCTTCCGTACCATCACTAGGTTAGTTTATAGCCCCAAGGACTTGATAGGCGGTAAGTTCCATCACTAGGTTAGTTTAAAGCACCAAGGACTTGATAGGCAGTAAGTACCATCACTTGGTTAGTTTAAAGCCCCAAGGACTTGATAGGCGGTAAGTACCATCACTTAAAATAGGTCATTGTGTAGCCCCAGTGTACTAATAGGCCTTCCGTACCATCACTAGGTTAGTTTATAGCCCCAAGGACTTGATAGGCGGTAAGTACCATTACTAGGTCATTGTTTAGCCCCAGTGTACTATTAGGCCTGCCATACCATCACTAGGTTGGTTTATAGCCCCAAGGACTTGATAGGCAGTAAGTACCATCACTAGGTCATTTTGTAGCCCCAGGGTCTTGTTGGGTTGCCATAAGTAAGTAAAGATAAGTAAACAGCTGTTGGTGGTGTTTTTTTATCTTTTTTGACCCCGGGTCGCCTGAATAATAAATAAGTTGATCATGTTCATGTCACGATTCATTCTGAGAGTCATTGACATGAACTGTTCAAGGTAACAACCTTGAAAGGGTCACCATATACTTGAGTATCCGAGTGATTCCACTGATCCCGTAAAAGGATAAACCTCCACTGATTAAAGGGTAGGTCGAGGGATCAAATTGTCGCGTAGTGTTTGACTAAGATTCCGATACTGTCACTTACGCAAACACTATGGCTGACAAACCAGATAGCATCAACCCTGATTATCTCCAGGAAGCATCACTACCGATGAACTACACTACTATGACACACAAAGTATTAATTTTCAAAGAGATCTATATTCAAAAATTTTTTAATTACATCTTAGAATTTAGAGAGTAAAAACCATGGATATAACACTACTATGACACACATAGTATTAATTTTCGAAGAGTTCTATATTCAAAAACTTCTTAATTCCGTCTTAGAATTTAGAGAGTAAAAACCATGGATACTATAAGGTCTATGTAAATATCAACTTACAGAACTGTTATTGACCAAACGTTGATCAAGAAATATACGGAAAATAAAATAATGAAAACAAATATATATTTTCCAACACAATTTTCCTTTGTTACTACGTATATATACTGATCAGTGAATTGTTCAAATCCAAGGAACCTTTTCCATACAAAACTAGATAAATGTATATGAAAGAATCATAGACCAAAAGGTAACATTCAGATCTAAAATGGCAAAACTATGGCTATAATACATAAACTGGTATACAATTTTGAGTAAATTATTTTCAAATCTTGAACTCATTCACCCCTGAAGACACATTTGAACTCCTCCAATTCAAAGGTTGGAATAGTTCATTATAGAGTTTCGGGGGTGAATAAGTTAAACATGTTTTTTTAAAAGGCTTTGTAGGGTACATTAACTCATTCACCCCGGAAGACACATTTGCACTCCTCCAATTCAAGGGTTGGAGTGGTTCATTGTAGAACTTCAGGGGTGAATGAGTTACTATACACATAAACAGACAAGCAAGGTGATAGTGTACCTCTCTACACTGTAAGAAAGTTGTGTTGAGAAATGACTTACATCTGACTAATGATACGTACCTTGACAACACTTATTGGTTTTCTGGACATGTGGTAACAGGTATAACACAGGAAAGTGAAGATCAAAATGTAGACTCTGTACCTGTAACAAAGGGAGATAATTATAATGTATAGACTCTGTACCTGTAACTAAGGGAGATAATTATAATGTATAGACTCTGAACCTGTAACTAAGGGAGATAATTATAATGTATAGACTCTGAACCTGTAACAAAGGGAGATAATTGTAATGTATAGACTCTGAACCTGTAACTAAGGGAGATAATTATAATGTATAGACTCTGTACCTGTAACAAAGGGAGATAATTATAATGTAGACTCTGTACCTGTAACAAAGGGAGATAATTATAATGTAGACTCTGAACCTGTAACAAAGGGAGATAAGTATAATGTATAGACTCTGAACCTGTAACTAAGGGAGATAATTATCATGTAGACTCTGAACCTGTTACTAAGGGAGATAATTATCATGTAGACTCTGAACCTGTAACAAAGGGAGATAAGTATAATGTATAGACTCTGAACCTGTAACTAAGGGAGATAATTATCATGTAGACTCTGAACCTGTTACTAAGGGAGATAATTATCATGTAGACTCTGAACCTGTAACAAAGGGAGACAATTGTAATGTAGACTCTGAACCTGTAACTAAGGGAGATAATTATCATGTAGACTCAGAACCTGTAACAAAGGGAGATAAGTATAATGTATAGACTCTGAACCTGTAACTAAGGGAGATAATTGTCATGTAGACTCTGAACCTGTAACAAAGGGAGACAATTGTAATGTAGACTCTGAACCTGTAACTAAGGGAGATAATTATAATGTAGATTCTGTATCTGTACCAAAGGGAGATAACTAAAATGTAGATACTGTACCTGTAACAAAGGGGGATAATTATAATACAGACTTTGTACTTGTAACAAAGGGAAATAACTATAATACAGACTTTGTACTTGTAACAAAGGGAGATAATTATAATACAGACTTTGTACTTGTAACAAAGGGAGATAATTATAATGTAGATTCTGTGTCTCTAACAAAGGGAGATAATTATAATACAGACTTTGTACCTGTAACAAAGGGAGATAATCATAATACAGACTTTGTACTTGTAACAAAGGGAGATAATTATAATACAGACTTTGTACTTGTAACAAAGGGAGATAATTATAATACAGACTTTGTACTTGTAACAAAGGGAGATAATTATAATACAGACTTTGTACTTGTAACAAAGGGAGATAATTATAATACAGACTTTGTACTTGTAACAAAGGGAGATAATTATAATGTAGATTCTGTGTCTGTAACATAGGGAGATAATCAAAATGTAGACTCTGTACCTGTAACAAAGGGAGATAATTATAATGAAGATTTTATACCTGTCTCAAAGGGAGATAATAATGTGTAGGCTGTGTACCTTATAAAAGGGAGAAAAATATAATGTTAATAATGTCTCTGCAATAAAGGGAGATAATTATGATGTAGACTCTGTACCAGTTCAACCACATAGTACTGTAATATAGATTCTTTATCTGTAACAAGGGGAGATAATCATGATGTGACAGGGATTCCTGAAACAGGGGGAATAATCATAATGTTACAGGGGACATAATCCTGATGTAAAAGGATATGATATATGTATATTGCCATTGACCAGAATTCTGTTTCTCTAACACAAGGCAAAAAAGCTGGAATAAAACCAAAGTAATGATGATAAGGTTGACACACCATTGCTATCATCTCCTTTAATCACCTTGAACTCAGCTAAGGTAGCTCCGGCCCATTTTATTACAAAAGCTCCAAATAAGGAAAAAATGCCCTGTCATGCACTGCATGTGACTAATACAATCAAATTAGAAACACTGATATATAGATTAGGTATAATAATGCGGTAATTTAGGCCATAGAGCAGCTAAGGTACCTAGCCCATCAACAATTCGCAATTAAGCAACCTGCGGCAAGGAATTCCTCTGAAAAAATATGTTTTTTCAATTTTTCATACATATTTTGACATATGACACATCTACGTATACCATATTAGGTCATGACCGATAACTCTTGGCTCTTCTAATATGATACCTCAGGGACCGCTTACCTTGGTTTTATAAATAAGACAAAAGTCCTTCCATTTTTCAACCATTTGAAAATGTTAAAGATTCTACCTATTTATTTTATTTTAGCAATTTTTTTTTTAAATTCTATCTTTGCACAAGTAATCTAACTTGACAATGTCTGACATTTTACTTAGAATCTGAAAACTTCTAAAGATAATAACACATAGCTAAAGCCTTTTATTGAAAAACATGAAACATGTTGTTTATATAGTGCCAGATAAAGGGTAGTTGACCTTTTGAATTCCCGATAATAATGAAAGCAAATGTGTTTGTGACCAGGCTGAATAGGTCAAAACATTAGGTCAGGCACCCTGCTCACATTGACCCAGTGAAGACTTACGGGTCAATACGTCACATTTGTTCTGAAGTTTGAAACAGCAGTTCTCTTAATTTGGTTGAACATGTACGAAACAGGCACTTTACTGCTACTCTCCAGTACTACAGATAATTCACCAGCTATTTCAACTAATTCACCCCTGAAATTTCATAATGAACTATTCCAACCTTTGAATTGGAAGAGTTCAAATGTGTCTGAAGGGGTGAATGAGTTAATGAGATAATTTGCAGAATGGAAATGGGTTCTATGAAATGTACTGAAATAAACGTCACTTTTTGTTTTTCGTTATACATACAACTTGAAATCTCACTCGATATTCTGATAAGAATTATTACTAACACATGCAATATTATTTCTATATCCCCTCCAATATCAAACCAGCTGACACAAAATTGTATGTAGTTTCACGTTGTGTTGAAAATAACTAATTTCATGTTTTGATAGACAATGATTAACTGCCAGCTTGTTTCAGCCTGCAGCAAGCAGATTCAGTCTTCTCTCAGTTTCAACACACAACTGTAGTTTTACTTTCAACTTCACGACAGTGAAATATTGTAATACTTTCAGCCTCCCATCGATGTTTGTAAGGGGAATTTTAGGGGCCAATAAAAAGTTGGTGGTGTTTTTTGGCAACCCGACTTATAGTTTGTAGTAGTGGCTAACATGCGTGTGTGGTGGCAGCTATACTGGGTTATTCAAATTTTCATATAACATTCAATATAAATTATTGATTTTATGCTAAGAGCCCTATAGTGTGGCTCTATTGATATTAATAAATTCAATGTCACCAATCTGGTTCCCCTGATTCATGCTTTTCTGAAGTATCCCTTTCCCACTGTACTGTGGTTTTTCCTATATAATATAACCTCTCCTTCACCCTTTCACCCCTATGTAACTTTAGTAAACTCTTCCATGCATTGAAATGGATGAGTCCATTGTGGTCCATTATATTTTGTTTATTTCATCTTTATCATCTTTATCCTCCCCCAAGGTATGGACTTTTTATCAGAAAAGATTTATCAAAGCTTAAATAGTCATGTCAGAAAAGAAAAATAATCTTACAAATTGCAATACGATAGATCACAATATATTTTGAAGTCCTTATAAAAATTTGGCGTATTTTTTAAAAATAATTTTACATAGAAATTATGTAAAGTTTGCATCAATTCAGCAACTTCAGATGATAAATTGAATTACTTTTTATATCGTTTTTAAGGGTTATCGCAACAAGACAGCTTAGTTTAGATAATAGATTGTTTGAATTTCGTATATTCCCGGGAGATTATCTCATAACTTTACTTTGCCAAAACCCTCCAAAATATTAGTGGAAAAACTTATCGCAATTCTTTGACATTTCAAAATAAATCATTTTGCGGCATATTAGACGACACACATTTTCCTATATTCCCATTGGTTGAATCATAATCATGTGGAGGTCAGTGATTTACGATATTGACTCGGTGTGACTTTTTTAGAAACAGCAGGTTAATATTTAGGAGGCACGGTAGTCTATAGTGGTTGGACGCCGGGCTCGTGACCGAAGGTTGCGGGTTCAAGTGACGGCACGGCAAGGCACTGTGTTGTCTATATAAGAACCTTGAATTATTATTATTATTAATAATATTCACTTCAGGATGTTATCGTCAATTGTATAATGTCACAATACTCTCTCCAAATTGCAGTATTTTTTTCCTGATAATTTTCGTATGTTCTATCTTGTTTTTAATGAGTTAAATATCATTTAGCATCTAATATGACAATTAAGGACTGTTATTTTCGTGAAGATGCAGTTATATCCTCGTCTCGGTCAATAATACTATCTCAGGTACATATAATATTGTATTCACCTCAACAAAAGTCCATAGCTGATAAATATCCAATGATTTTGATATTGAGAAATTATCACCCACCCCCCATATACTGTCTGAACGGAATGTCTTCATTGAATGTAAGAAATTACTTCTTTAAAGAAAGGCTGGATGAGCACTGGGGACAACCAGAATGTTTTATAATCATGAACTAGACATTAATGAACTTATTCACTGTCGGAGCGGCTTACGATACATATGATCTGGACATAAAGGTATTTGCCTGCATCTAGTATTATTATTATTATTATTATTATTATTATACAAGGTACATATATACATACTCATTTTCATTGCCTAAAAACTGATAACGGACGTAAGTAACACTTTGTATACCTAAAACCAGCAGTAACATATATATATAATATACTGCAGCAATATATTGAAATAAATCAAAATAAATTCGTGTGTTTGTAATGATAATATTTATATGGTTATCAAAGTATAATAACATGACCGCTGTGTATACCCAGCATATCAGCTGAGTATATTGTCAGGCTCAGTGATAACACAGCCTGAGTGTGATTTTATCTAAAATTAATTCATATATCAATTGTTTACAAATACCACTGTGGTGCATATTCTACTGATACAACTTTCACAGCTCACAGATAGAATTACTATAAACTATAACCACTCCTGTGTACAGGTGATGTAAACATGCAGAGAAAGAGAATCTATCACTCTTGTGTGATGTACAATGTAGACAGAAAAATAGAATATATGACTCCTGATCATTCCTGTGTACTGTAGACAG